CCACGATACTGACCCATGAGGCTTTCGATCTTGCTCTTGATCTCTTCCTCCGAAGTGAAACCTTTACCGATTGTGCTTTCCACATTCAAAAGATTATTGTTCTCCCGTTCTCAGACCTTCCATAGAGGATCTCAGCAGCCTTTAAAACATTTTAAAACGATAGACGAGAAACTGGAGATCCCCACGGAAATTCTTGACCTCTTCTTCATCGGGTTTTCCTTCGGTGAAGACTTGAAGATGCCGCTGCCCTGCTCACAGAATGCATACGCCCACTCCGTTCCTTCGCCAACCTTGGAGGTTATGAAACGGAGTTCTGGGCTTGTCTTCAGGCTTCAGGGCTTCGGAGGATTTCGTTGTTGGGGGTTGTGCTTGTTATCTTGGCCGAAAAGGCACATGACTCTTGCTGTCTTGCAACATGCGGGTGGAGTTATGGTCAGCTACCGCAAGATCTACACCCTCAAACCCCAACCCAGCCNNCCCCCCCCCCCCCCCCACCACACCTCTTTTCGGCCCCCGAAACCCCGGACCTGACAGCCGACGTGGAAGAACCCGTTGCCGATGCAGTGGTACACCCTGCCGTTTTTCTCCACGTCCTGAGGGCTGAAGAGGTTTCTTGAGAGTGAGCTTCGAGATTGCAGGCAGAGCCTCTGAGTGTGTTTTTGGCTGTAGGCTCAGTTCTGGCGCTGTTGTGTTTCGCGGTTCCGGTGCTGAACGTTCTCTTCTTTAGCTCTCAGCTGACTTCCGCTCAGGTTGGATCCTCAGCATCGTAGGTCTGCAATGTGCCGGCATTGACGTCATAGATGTTCAGGACCACCTGGCAATTGCATCGGCATGATGGGCACAAAGGGTTTCGGGTTCAAGGTTTCGGGGTTCAGGGCACCTGAGAAGATCTTGTAGCCTTGACAGCGATGTAAGTCGAAGTTTGGATTTCAGGGCATGTAGAGTTTATGCGTTGAAATGGGCTTTGTAGAGATCTTTTAAGCTCGGGTTTCTTTCTTACAATGCCAGTTTTGGCAGGGGTCTATCGATGAAAGACTGTCTTTTGTTATGCGGCTGCAAGTGGTGTGACATGATGCAGTCTGGCTGAGAACTGCCCAGACTTACAGCGGCAGTTGAAAAGCCACCTTTAGATGCATCCATGAGCCTTTGAATACAACCCCTGGCCTCGTTGTGAGCAATCACCGTCTCCTTTGCTGCGCAATTACCCATGTCCAACGCGGTAAGGAGTGGCAGCAAGAGGGAAAACAGAAACGCGGCCTTCCTGAGCGGAAAAGTTAAAAGCCAAATGCTGCAGGCGATTCAGGGTCTCGAAAGAGTTTAACGTTACCTGGGCTCCCACACACATAGACACCTAAACCCTGAACCCCAAACCCTAACTACTCGACATGCGATCCTTGTACGCAGGTGCGGAACATGCAACAAGCAGTCCGGTGGCATCCGCCTGGCACCACATGCCCAAATCCGCTGCCGGCTACTCACAAACCTGAAAGTTTACCAACCCTGAGCAATAAAACTTAACAGCATAGTCTTGGAGGCAAGCACAAACTCCAAGCTCGATTGCCATCCCGGACCGGGTGGGTTGGCCATAAGAACTCCACCGACGTATAAGCACTTCGCCGAAGTGGTGCCGCATTTCTATGGAGGTGTTAGAGGTAGTTTTTGTAGATTGTTTTTTTGGTTTTGGGGCCCTTGCAATTAGTGTCTTTATCATTTAGGCTTCCATTGCGGGTCCCATATTTTCTGTCGCATTCTCTGAATCTCCAGCAGGGTCGGTTGTCTTCCGATGCACTGCGAATTGCGGCAACAAGCGCAGCTCAAAAAAACAAGATCTGGCTGGTGTAGAGGAATCTTCGGTGCACTAAGCCTTCAAGCCTCGTGCATTGAACAACAAACTTAAGCCATGTATAACTATAGACTCAAGCATCCGCCCGAGATCCTGCGGAGTGCTTGCCCTTCAAATGGACTGAGCCCTAAACTTCATGAAACCTCTTAAACCTTAACCGTGGGCTTTTCGAGCCTTGGGTGGACAGACGACGATGCTGTCGCGCACAAGTGTGACGAGCTCCTTTCCGGGCAAGCAGCGATTGTAGGTTATCGGATTATACGGCTTAAGACTTGAGGGGCTGGGATTCAGGGCTTCGTAGCTTTGAGGCGTTAGGGTGTGGGAATTACGGATGTGAAAGTATGGTTTGAAGGTTTAGGACAAACTCGCCAGGCAAGGCACCCCAAGAGGTTTAGAGCCCCTGTCATTTGAATGTCTGGCTTGAGCAGTATCGTCACCTCGGTTGTGTCAGCTCAAGCTTGAAGATTTCGGCATCTCAGGTTGGGGATCGGATTCAGGCAAAACCTGACATTTTGCTAACCCAGCAGAATTTGGACATGGTGTTCCCCATTCCCAACTGAGAGGAACTACCCGACTAACCTCAAACTCTTGAACTGTTCCAGGGTCCCCCGCGCTGCTAAACCCAGACACACCAACACCCGTCTGTGGCAGCCACACACACCTGCCCCATAATCTGAACCACGACTACAGCTTACAAGGAGCTTGAGAAAAAAATGGATCCCAACTTAACCCTAGAGACTAAGATGCAGAAAAAAGGATCCTAAAGAGTATGGGACCCTCATACGAGGGACCTTTGAACAAATAGCATGAATGATGCATATAAAAATATATGTATACATACACAATAAACTATCATATCCTTATTATTGCAAGTAATGATAATACATAATGGTAATAATATGAAGAACCTCTCCACAACTTCGACCTTCCTACACGGGCCCCAAACATCCGAAGCACTCGTACGCGAAGTCCGGGTGCAGTAGAGCAAACAAGCAGAACTGTCACAGTTTGGGGGATTTTACGTTGTAGGGACTAGGGTCTAGGGATGTTTACAGTACAAAACACAAACGTCAAGGCAACCGATATTGTTACCGGCGGAACGCACCAATATATCCTTTTTTATTTGAGCCATGCGGGTGGCAGCCGGGTAGCAGTAGAGTGCAAAGATAAATTACAGTATATACGTACAAGTGCATTAAAAATGTGCCATACTACCTACTCATACCTACCCCTGCTCAGGATCATGCCGACCCCTCAAAGGTGGTGTTGCGCTGGCATGGCGATCGGTTGGTATTGTGACCATCATGCCAGTGCGGTGCAATGCACAAAATGTTGAAATGGCAGGGCAGACGCCCGTCAGGACGCCGAACCCGCCAGCATTGCTCCTAACAAGCACACAGCAGCCGGGACAGAAGGAGCAGAACGGCGACCTGAGCCCTTTGAACCTTTAGAGCCTTGGCTGGATCGACTAGACCTCCCGCTTCTGCATTTCGAGCTCTTATAATTATATAGAGCTAGATCTGGAGCCTTTCCTACCCGTTTTCTCGTTGTTCTTAATCCTCTTCTCTTGGCTGCCTGTGCGTGCACTGGAACCCGGAGCGGTGGGAATAGGTGTGCCCTTGGCAAACTTCTTGCTTAAAGAACTTGCATTCCTGCTTTTCCCCCTTTCCTTTACTCCCCGGGCTCGGGGTCCGAGACGGTGCGCGACCTGCGCCAAGAGTGCGAGATCCGCCTCTCGGGATTTCGTGCTTCTAGGTACACTTGTCCCTAGAACAGCTACCGTTCTTCACAAAGTCAACACAGAACCCTTTTGGGATTCGCTTCTGCTTGGGCGCATTCGGTGCAGGAGCAGATGGAACACCACCACCAGCTTGCCTTGCAATGCGGTCACGGTCTTCTGAAGGCGTTCGCGCTTCAGATGATTGTTAACCGCGTCATGCAAGAACTGGTATGACTTTCGCTCGCTGCCGTCAAGCGCGCGATCGTAGATGGAGATATCGTGAGCGATATCTTTGCATTTCTTGACTTGCCTGTGAAACAGTGGCTCAAGCACGCTGTTATCAGGAGGAACCGGAATCCCCGAAAAAATCGTATCCCAATTACGGATGAATGCGGTCATGTTATCGAAGTACTTATGGAGACGATGCGATAAGTGACGTCCCCTCACCAGTCTTCCGGCGTGAGCCTCGGTCTCCTCGAACATGTCTGTCTGTCTAGCGAAATCCCCTTCCAGGATGTCAAAGCAGACAGAATCTTCGCGTCCAAAGTGCTAAACACCTCCGAGTCGCGAAGCTCATTCTCATCCAACTCCTTTTCCCAGACCTTGCCCAACCAAGCATGGGCCCTGTCTGGAAAGTCCAAGGCGGCAACGATTGCCTCCCGCACACGAATTCACAGTTCCGGTACCGTTCGGGCTGGGGGAATTTGGGAAACACCCTTTTTTTCAGCCTCTTTCGCCTTGGGCTTGTTTCTGGTGGATTCCCTATCCTCGTCGCCTTCCTCTTTATCCTCTTTCTTGTTCTTGAACACCTTCTTCAAAAGCTCCATGAGGGCTTTGTTGTCAATGGAGGACGAGGAATCAGACGAATCATCACGTTTGCTCTTCTGCTTTTTGTGCTTCTTGCTTTTCTTCTCTTGTCGTCGCTGTACTCAGCTTCATCACCACGGATACCTTCCGGTTCCGGAGCATTGGGTTTTTCAGGAGGTGTGGCGATGTTGTGTGTCGTTAGTCCCGGCGGCAGCTCGGGACCATGCGAAGCGCCAGGATGAGCAGTTGGGGATATGTTTCTTGCTTCGGCTAACTTACACCAAGCACGCCTGAGGGTCTCATTGTCGATCATAAGCAATTCCATCCCTTGCTGCTGGGTACGCAACATTTCTTGCATTTCACTCTTCATTCTGTCGATCTCATCATCACGAGCACTGGTCTCATTGCGCCTCCGACTCTCTCGGCGCTCAGCTTCGTGGGCGAAAACGATATTGGCTGAGTTTTCCGCATTTCACAGACGTTCGTGCCAGTGCAGAAGCTGAGCTTGCTCAGCTGCCAAACTAGCTTCCATCTGATGATGGGCCACTGCCAATCTTCCTGCCAGACCGTTGCTAGCTGCTACTTCCTCCATCTCCCTTTTCTGAGTTTCCAGACGAGCATGCTCTAGCCTCGGCTGGGCGACTTTGCTGTTTGCTGTGATCCCCACATGCATCATGTGCTCCCTATTTTCACTTTGGAGTCTCGTGACGACGTCTGCATGTCTAGCATTTGCGGTTTCCATCAAGAAGCCATTGTCATTGGCCAGGATGGTGTTGTTCTGCTGATTGTAAATATTGTTTATCAGTGTCGGAACCAAAATAGCTGCATAAACGGAGACATTGCTGGGTGCCACAGTCGTGGGTCCAGGACTAAACCCAGGCCTAGAAGATACCATAAGTTGGCGTTGCCGTAGGCGTGTAACCAGCATATACATGGCTACGAACTGTTGCTTCAGCAAGAGCAACCTGACCCTCCCGGGCGGTGGCGATACAAAGCTCCGTGCCCGGAACCGACCTGGAGCGGACAGACTCCGTATCGATGTCACTGTTATACCATCATCGGGTGTCGACGTACGTGCAGGATTTGGGGGAGCGATGGCATCCATTGCACTAACTACGGCAGTTACGGCTGCTATGATAACCTATTGTTTCCGGCAGAGCGCACCAATCCTTTTTCATACTTGAGCCACGCGGGTAGCGGTAGAGTGCATAGATGTAGTACAGTACATAAGAAACACGTGCAATCAAAACAACCGATGCCTCGACGCCCTCCACGCCGTAGTTTTTCGGGTTCAGGCTTTTCTTGTAGTACCTGGTCTTGGCGGATATCGAGAGGGCTTGCCGGAGCTCTACCGGTCCTGGGTTGGATAATTTCGCGTCCTACACACCCGAGTTGGTCCTAGAACCCAAAGCCGACACCTCCAGAACTGCCGGGGGTTGCAAACAAGAACTAGGGCGTGGATGTTCTAACCTCAATTCGACCCTTGCTCGTGTTTGGGTGCGGGGCTTTGGGCTTTGGGCCGTGCTTTCGTTTGGCCGCCTTCTGTCAGAAACACGGAAGCCTGCTAACTCGCATCAGCTGCGAGATCGGAGTTTTGCAAATCGTCGCATGTGCCCGAAAATGACAAAATGCTCTGGTCTGATTGTCAGTCCCAACCCCAAAACCCCAAAGCCATGATACCCCAAACCGTGTAAACCCCAGCCAGACAAATCTAAGGGTGCTTTTGCTGACAGAAGCAAACATAGCAACTTGCAGCAGTTTATCTGCAATCGATTTCCATAGGGTTCAGACCATGGGGTCGGAGGTTGATTGCGAGTTGGCTGGTATTACATGTGCCTAGGAGTCCATTGTAGCATAACCCCGCGCCTAAAGCCGGCCGTGCGTTCAGCTTAGGCTATGGTGGCTGCGGCGTTCTGCGGGCATACATCGCCAGGATTAAAGTTTCGTCGCGCTTGCTGGTGGGATCATGCGGAGGACACGGCGTACCGACATGGACTAGCTAGCGGAGGGAGTAGTCCACTGCTTTAGGTTCATACTACTTTAATGTTCCGGACGGAAGACTGTGGTGGAGAAGCCGAAAGGGGGTTTGCAAGGTGCTAGGGGCCAACATGCGAGGGTATAACGACCTTGTGTACTGCCGCACTATGAATATTTTGAGTGAGTGAGTGGCTGAGTGACTGAATGTGACTGAGTAAGTGAGTTGGTGAGTGAGTGCGTGGGTGGGTGAGTGAATATGGGTGAGAGTGAGTCACAGTGAGTTGGGGTGAGTGAGACTGAGTGGTCGAATTCGAGCGCAAGTGAGCAAATTTGAGTGAGAGTGAATGAGACTGAAGACTGACTGAATGAGAGTGGGAGGGGTGGGAGCGGAGTGAGTGAGTAGCGTGGAGTGGAGTGGAGTGGATTCGAGTTGAGTGTGAGCAAGTGCGTGAATGAGGGAGTGAGTGAGGTATAAATTGTTGCAGACAAAGACAAAGCGACAAATGTTATTACGCTCGCCACTGCTTGAGAAAGGAGTTCAGTAGGCTCTCCTTCAATCCGAGCTAGCACCAACCTTGCTATCTGACGGGCAACAACACACACTACATCGACTGTTACAGCCGCTGTAGTACGCCCTCACCCTGGGTGTGTGTGTGTGTGAGGGAGATCTAAATTAGGAATCGTCCTTGGAATAACGTTGACATTACATGACATATTGAGGGCCATGGGAGCCCAATTTATGTAGACCCACAAATCTCCACAGGATTGCTGGATTGCCTGTTGTAGTAGAAGAGAAGGTGGTCGGGATAGATCCCAGACCTGTCTCAGACGGAGCGCTGAAAACTTAGGCTGGGGGCTTCCGCTTCGTGAGACCAGAAGTCTTTTCTCGGCTCCGTTGTGAGCTGTGCCGAGGGTTTGCGGATCTATCTATATATCTATCTATCATGTATGTATGTATGTATGTATGTATGTATGTATGTATGTGTATATATATATATATATTTATATTTATATTTATATTTATATTTATATTAATAGTATACATTACACACACATATATCTTTACATTACATTACATCACAGTGCAGCACATGACATTACCTTACGTTACATTACATTACATTACAGTACAGCACATGACATTACCTTACGTTACATTACATTACATTACATTGCACTACTTTTTTTTGCCTCCCGCCTGGCTGGGACGAACCTACGACATCAAATTAGTACATTAATACTTTGGCATACATACATACATGCATTCATGCATGCATACATACATACATACGCACAGACATACATACATACATACATACATACGTACATACGCACATACATACATACATACATACATGCATGCATGCATACATACATACATAAATACACACATCAATACACACACATACATACGTACATACATACATACATAGATACATACATACATACATACATACGTACATACATACATATACGTACATACATACATAAATACACACATAAATACACACATACATACATACATACATACATACATACATACATACGTACATACATACATACGTACATACATACATACATACATACATACATACATACATACATAAATTCATACATGCGTCCATGCATTGCATTACATTACATTGCATTACATTGCATTACATTACCTTACCTTACAACACACTGCATTAATACATACATGCATACATCCATGCATCCATCCATGCATGCATGCATGCATGTATATATACACATGTCATGTGAGGCCGAAACGGGTATGCGAAGCCACAGGGCTCTGACCAGACCAAGAGGCCTGTGCCTACTCTCTGGATGTAGCCTTGCATATGTAAAGCAAGCCATGCATAAACCAAGCGACCTTCAAAACGTCAGAACAATAACAGAAGCCGCTAGACCAAGTCGGCAAAATACGAGAAGCACAAGCTGCAGACCGTGGCCCGACAGGAGATCCCTAGATTCGCGGCCTGAAAGGAATTTCCTGCAAGAAGTCTTGGAGGCTCCACCGAGTGCTACGAATTGATGAGGGACCCTTTTTTTCAGGAAACCTCAGGGTTCTATGAGGGATTTGTTAACTTAAGGCTTCCAGGATCTATAAGGCTTAAGGCTTAAGTGTAAGGCTAAAGTATGCCTACATGGCCCACATCCTAGCTCCCTCGAGTGCACATACGACCTAAAGAGAACCATACAATGATCCTCCGGTCCCGCAGTCCAGTCGCCCAAGTCCACACTGTACTTCAAGAAGCCCCTCCAAAAAATCCGAGGCCCTGCGACCTCGTCCTCAAATCTCAAAACCCAAACTCTTGAAATGCTGCTCGGAGAGCTTTGGGCTTAGGGCATGCGTTTCAACTCGTAGGGCGTTTAGACTTACATAGGGTTTGGGCAAGATTCGGCTCAGGGGTTTTATGGTTTATGGCCTCGCAATCGGTTATTCTAAGGGTCTGCGACTTTTAGGGCTTAGGGCGGGGGCCCACCTTTCCGGATCCCCACAGTCATGAAGGAAGGCGTGGGCTAAGAGGTGGAGCTCGAATCGCAGGCTCAATAGGGCCCAGTCCTGTGGGTCGTGCTAGAGGTTTTTGCTTCAAGCATTTCTTGGGTTTTTTTTAAGAATTGAACTCGTTCTGGGGTCTCCGGGTTCGGAGTTCGTCAAGTTGTTTAGTTTTGCCGGGGCTTACTAGGCAAGCAAAGCTCAACGACAAGAAGTCCAAGTACTGGAGCGCACAGTACCTGTCAACTTCCACCATTTCGAGGACGAAAGATAAAGTGTGGGGTTCAGTGCTTCAGGAGGTTGAAATCTGAAAGGGCTCAAGACTTGGGGTTCTAGTGTCCCGTGATCTAAGGTTCGTGGGTGCACAGGGGTTGTTTGGACATGTCCCAAGCTTCCTCTTCAATTGCAGTCACAGGTTTGAGTTCCATTTCGAGGTTGAAGGGCGTGGGTGTTTGGAATGCCGCGCGGGTTCCAGAAAGCTTAAGATAGTTAAAAGCTGTATCTCCTTCGAATGAGCGGTGTCACACAGGCAGCATGCAATACTAAGTTACGGAAAATCCCCAAAGATACCAACCAGGTTTTGCCTCTTAGGGCTTAGGGGTTTGGCGCCTTAGGATTTGGGGCTTGGGGTTGCAAGCGTAGGGCAAGGACTCCAGGGCCCTCAAAGTGCTGTGGCTTTTAACAGCTAGCCCCGAGCAGTTTCGTGGGGTGGCATCTGCTGCTTCAACCTTGCCTGAAGCCTCACCGGCACACGAACCAAAGCAACAGAAGCCGAACTTCGTCTCTCCCGGTCGGGCAATCATGTAAAAAGTGAAGTTAGGATTCCAGGCTTGAGTGCGACACATTAAGCCGGACTGAGCCTTCCAGGTAAAATAATGCAACATAAGACGGTCTATTTCGGTTGGACAAAATTATTTCAGGCATGACAGAAAGAAACGAAATAATGTAGTGCATTTAACATGATGTCGCAATGTAATATAATACTCATCTACTACCTGCAAACAATGTACTAGATCCTAGGCCCAGCCCTGCCCAGTCCTCGAACCCAAAGTTGAAGAACAGAGGTTCACCGGTACCGATGTCCTCAACTTTGCCGGGCGACTGAAGGGAGAGAAGTTGGGCCAACCCAAACGCTGAACTGAACTGCAGGGACCGGAGACCCCCCCATAATGAAGGCAGTGACCGGTAGCGTGCCTCATAACCCCATGCATCTCATATTACGGTAAGAATCACTTAAATGATTCCTATAAAGTGGAACCGAAACGGTCTTGCGGGTTTAGAGCTGCGGGGGACTTTTCACCTAAGGGGCCCGGACGTCAGCAGTGGCAGTAGCCATAGAGGGGTCGTGCGGCGCAAAATGGCTTTGGTTTAGGACAACTCCAGGTTTCAGCAACTGCTTAAAGACAGGAGCCCCGTCGATCCACAGGTACGTTTACGCTCAACGACGCAATGTTTACAATAGTTGCAAAAAGACGAGCGAGGTGAAACGGCTCACACTTCTTGAAGCAGGGCTCTACAACTATGCCTGCTTCTCCGACCCTGACTCATGTCAGGACAGCCCTTAGCAACATTGAGCCAGCTTTACGAGTCTTTCAAGACTACGCAGCAACAGCTCCAGGTGCGACTTCAGAAAGCAGGGAAGAGACGAGCTGCTGTGACGTCTTCAATCTCGAAGACGTCGTTGTCCGCCTGCTCAATTTCTTCATCCAGCTCCTGCAAAAGTTCTGGATTTTCAGGTTGTACTAGAGTGTCATAGGGTCTCAAAGACTACGAGAAACTTCTGCGACCGAATGCCACTACTTGTACCTCTAGCTCTAGCAGCTGCTCGGTGTTCAACTCCCTATCATAGGAAACACATTGGAGGAGATTATCCGACTCAGGCTGCAGTCTAGGGCTAGAGTCTGTATTGCAAAGGTTTAGGCAACCCCCCAAACAAAAGCATGTATCTATCTATCGAAGTACCAACAACGGCGGCATGGAGCGCAGGGAACCCCGAGCACCTAACAGCGATACCTGCAAAGCCTGGAACCACTGTTCCTTTGGCACACGCACACACAGACAGTCAATCAGAGAAGCCAAAACCGTACGTCCACTTTGCGTCATAAAGCCTCTTTATACAGAATGCTTCCATGGACTGCTGTTCTTACAACTTGTGCCCTGGAAGGCTACAAACCTTGCACCCTAAATCCACACCCAAAACGTGAGCCCCAAAACTTGAACCGTAAAGCCTAAACCCAGTTCTTCCTGGTCTTAAGGGTTCGCCTCAAGGTTTCCATGAGGGGGGGGGGGGGGTTTCGAGAAAAGGTTACCTTACGGATTTAGGGGTCAGTGTAGAACATATGCACAGGTAAGATTCTGCGCAGCTTTAATGCTTCGGGACTGCAGCATCCCAACCTTGAGGTAGTCCACATTGTCCTCCTGGCGATGCAATACCACAACACGCGAAACTCATCGAGTTCTGAGTCCTATGTACCAACATGCAATGTAGCGCCTGTAGAAAGCCTGTAATTAGGCCACATGTTTCTGGTTCGTCGCTGCACATGCAATCGGGATCCGACTTCCAAGGCTTTGCTGTACGTCTACACTGCAGGCTTCCCGTACTTCAATGAAACGGCATCCAGCCTCCTCCTGTGCCTCCATCTCCTTGCTTTCGGCTTCTTCCTTCTTGTCGCCCTCCTTGTCTGCTTCTCCAGCAGCTGCCTCTTCACCTTTCTCCTCTTTCTTTTCGCCTTCCTGATCCACTTGCATGTCCTGTGCCTCTTCCTTCTTCTCCTCCTCTTTGCCAGCTTCTGCAGTTGGCGCATCTGGCTTTTCTTCCTTCTTCTCGCCCTCCTGCTCTGGAGGCGGTTCTGCTGACCTTAGAAAGCGACTCAACCCTGCAGCCCATACCGAGAACGCTGACACAAAGGCGAGCAGCGTCTTGTTGGCTTCCGCCTCCTTGGCTGCCTGCAAGGAACCGAATGTAGGGTCGAACTTAGGCTGCATTTTACAGCCTCGACAACGAGCCGAGTTTTCCCGATGCCAGACTGTGCCTGGTCCCATAACTGTTCTAGTCACGCAAACTGAGTGAGGCCTTTGCAAACTATCAGCATCAGTCCCAGCTTGAGGTCGCAGGAGTGCGGTTCAACATTGTCCACACTCTTTTGCTTCTAGCTCAGAAGTTCATGTACACTGGCTTCGATCATGCTGTTTACCACCAGAAATAGGAATTGGGGGCCGGGGGCGTTGGCTTCTGACTGTATATGGTGACGAGCTTGAGAAATGGCTGAAACACCTTAGATGATTCGAGGCTCAACTCCTTGTCCCAGCTGGTGGTCATGTCAAGCACACCTACTGACCTACTGAAGGTCAGGGTCATACTTGGGCCTGATGCAGATGCCAGCACGAACCTTTGGGGGAGTGCTGCTTCTTCCCATTGCAGTTGCAGTGTCATGTTTGCAATTCCACCGGCCTCTTCATGAATATGGCTTCTCCCCTTCAGCATGGGCTTGGCTTGTCCCTAAACCTTAAACCCCAATCCTGTCGACCACCAGGATCCCCATCTGACCGAGGAATGCATGTTGCACCAAACCAAGGATGCTTCTTTTTCACAGCCTCGTCTGAGAAACTCGTGCTCGGACCCAAACCAGACCCTATAAGCCTATAATTAATGTAAGACTTTGATCTTAAATCCAAAGCTAATGTAAACCCTGAACTGTTAAACCCGACAACGGGCCGGGACCTGAGCCAATCACCAAGATAAGCGCTTACGAACACTAAAAATCCCGAAGCCCTAACACGTCCGAACTCTTCGACGCAAAGGTCCTAGTCCGCAAACATCTTGGAAACGACATCCACCCCTAAGCCTGAAACTCTAAAACTCTGGACTCTCGGCCCAAGAACTAGGTTTCCACAAGGCCCAACGAATTGTGCCTGCAACCTCTTGATGAGGTCGGCCTGGACAACACAACGAGGCGGAAAACGGTCCAAGGGGCTTCGCGCATATGAGGGGTTTCGGCGCGCACGCTCGGACAAGTTAGGCGGGGTTGTTGGTGACGGCTCGCCAATGCTGGCAGGTTCCCAGGTAGGAGATTTCGAACCTACTTCACTTGGAAAGGAAAAACCACATGCTGCGATTCAAAGGGCTCAAGACCTACGTTCACAAAGTCCTGGTTTTACTTGTGTTCCTCGTAGACCTACCCCACGTCTTTCAGGGTTACACAGGACACCACTGCAAGACCAAGAGACAAAAACAACTCAAAAGAGGATCGTGGATTCGCTCCTATCGGTACCTATGCCTAAGTTACCTAAACCTCATCGGTGCTGTCGCCCTTGTTGCCTTGTTCCCGGACACCATGAGGCCAGCGGCCCGGAGCTTATCCTTGAGCTGCGGCACCTGCCCGCAAAACCGAAAGATGCTTTTTTCCCTCCCACTTTAGGGTTTAGGGTTTATAGAGTTGAATTGAAGGGTTCGTGAAGGTACTACACCTGAGCCCGTTTCGCCGGTGAGCTCACTTCTGGAGATCAACATGGGATGTGTGCCACTTGAAAGAACTACCCGCTTCTCAGCTACCATGCGGACGGCAGAGCAAAGCCACCGTGAATTTCTCCAAGTCTTCCTTTGCTTCTTCTTTTGTCTCTTCTTTTGCTTCTGTTGCGGCGTCCTTGGGCACTGGCGAGACTGAAGCCTATATTGCAAATTGGCCTCATCCCAGCTGCCAGGCTAGTTTCCGCATCGGGGTGTGTAATCGCCACTTTAAGGACACACCCTGAACAAAACAGCCGTTACAGTAGGTGTCAGGACTGCCTTAGCAATCAGAAGAGGGCTTGGGGTGAAGTGGGGGGGGGAAGATTATACGATAAGTACAAGAAGGAGCCCCAAGCGCCTCAACACAAATCACTGCAATCCTGCAATCCTCTAAGCCTTTCAACCAAACTTCCGACACTCCGAAGAGCCACCCGGGATCCGAACTCCTAGGATTTTATCGAGGTCTCAGGGTTAGGCTTCCAAGCTTAAAGCCTATAAACTTTATAGGGCTGATATAGGATTTAGGGTCTCACTGTCCTGCTTCGTATCTACAACAGCTTCTTTGGACTCCTCATCGGTTTTCGCCGTCTCTGTGGCCTCTCAAAGCTCGGGGCTTGAGGTTTCAGGCTTGGCAGCTCCAGGCTGGCTCTGGGACGACGATCACCGCCGGCAAAGAAGACGTTTGTAGGGCTATAAGGTTCAGGGTTTGATTGTTGGGTGGGAGCGGGACGGAACTATGTAACTATGACCTTTATGGAAACGAAGTCAGCGCTAACGGTGAGTCGGTTGCGTGGCCTTGCCGGCCTCTCAAAACAACATTCGGAGTCCCTACTGTCAGGGCAAATTGACAGGCTGGCAGACAAGCATGAAGGTCATCATGCTGCAGTAGACGGAAAGACAGACAAGTCCCGAAGCCAGGAATTTGCGCACAGCCCTGAGGAAACATTGCCATTACGAGTGGCAGGCTTCTGAGCCTTCTTTACGGGCCCCTTCTGCCGCGGGCCTTCTGCGAGGCTCCTTCGTGCCCCCGAAAATGCTTCAAACCCTGGGGGCGTCGCGTCTCCGGGCTTGTAGATTTTTAGTTGTACGCCTATTACAGTAGGTTTTTAGGATTAGCCTGCTTACCCCCTGTGTAAACCATGCCACCACCTAAGGTTCCCAAGCCTTCAGCCCCGACCCCCACCCAATAGACTGATAATCCTCCAAGCAACTCCGAATAGCATTACACCCTGCATCACTATGGACCCGAAGGCCTTTACTGAGGGTACCTGCAAGTACCTTAGGAAGCCTTCGCCAACCGCAGCACCTCGTCCTTTGTTTCGTCTCCCTTCTCGCCGTTCTCGGGGGAGAGCTTCCTCCTCTTCGGATCCTTCTCGCCGTCCTCTGCCTGGCTCTTAGTATCAGCTTAAGGGTTCTCAGGGCTGTTGAAAGCCTTTCATGACTAAAGCTCGTGACACGTTGAGGGGGTCACGGATTTTCCTCTCGCATGGCTGAGATTTGTGCCCACCAGCGAGGCTTGCTTGGTTGAGCTGAGGTCTAGGTCTCTATAGGTCTTCCCACGGTTCGTGGACTACGATACCCCTTGTAGCCTTGTAACAACCACCTCCTCTCTGGGCGAACCCCAAACAAGACCCTACGTCGGTATCAGCAGCAACAGAAACAACATTTTTGCTGCAGCAGCAGCATCAAGGCCAAAACCCAACAAATGCAACGGCATGAGGCTCGGGGTGGTAGCAGCAACAACGAAGCAGCAAGCAAGACTTGGAGCAGCAATGCGAGCGGAGGAGTCGTTTCCCCGGACCCGGAGACTATTTGGAAGCATTGAGCAAATCAGAAGAAGAAGAAGCAGAGAACGCCGCAGGCCTCCTGCGTCTTGTCATTTGCCTCTTCTTTCGCTTTGGTCTTCGCAGCCAAGAGCGCAGCTCTCTTCACTGGGTCCTGGAACCGACTTCACAGGAGGCCAAGCGTTTGGGGCTGAGGACCTGCCGTGGCTGTTGGGTTTCAAGGCTTGCAGGGGTTTGGGCATTGACTTCCGATTTAGATGCGGAGTTCATGACTTCAAGGCTGGGTAATGCACAAGGTTCGACTCCTCTTGTCGGACACACCGCTCGGATATTTCAAACCAACTCTATATGCTTTCACTCAGAAGACAGTGCACAGCGACTGCTTCATCGGCATCCGGCCTTCTGCACGCCCATTTTTTCCAACGCAGATACGCAGAAGGCGGAATGGCATGATGCCATACGCCCTAGACCCAGAATCCCGATACCTAGAAGAAACCTAAAGCGCCTCGCCCGAAATGGCCGAGGCAAGCCTCAGTCTCGAAGCTGCAGTCGGCTGGAGGACACCTACAGGCCGACTGTCTGCCATTCTAGGCTGCAGGACCGCAAGAGCCACATGCAAACCCGAAAGCACGGCAGCAACAGCCGCAACAAGTGATTCGAGCGAACACCCGGTGATTCAGTTGCTTCTGAAACTGAACCTCTAATGCAGTCAGCGGCTTCCAACGCTACGCTGAACTTTGAAGCCCGAGTCCAACTCTTTCAATTGCATATAGCACTCTTGGGGTGCTATTGTCCTAAGCCTAAGGAGCCCTAAAAGCTGAACCCTGAAATCCTACATCCCCGAAGCCCTATAGCCGCAATTCCGTATCTGTCTTGTGCCCGGGTTTTGGGTGGAACACAGGGTCGGCATGCTACGCAGAAGCAGGCTAAGCCGACGGATCTGGCCCTTCAGTTGATGGGCCACCTAGGCCACGGTTTGCAAGTGTTTAGAGAGGGGTTTGTACAAGGTTTTGCAAAAAATTGTTCGGGTTTACCGGAGCTTGTTGGGTCGATCTGTCAGACTTTGCTGCAGCGTTTACTAGGATCTGTTGGGTTCAGTCCACCCGGAAACAACCAGAAGATCACTCAAAGTGCGGCAAGATGCTCTACACGAACTGTAAGGTGTCTTCTCAGGGCCAGGTACTTGGGCGTGGCTTGCTGTTTAACTATGATGTTTGCATATTTTTGCAGGGTCGTTTGCGATAATTTCTCCTTAGCTAGCGGGTTTGAGATCAATTTAAGGACCCCGCAATCGGTCGCCGAAACACTCGTCATAAACACAACTAGTTCTCCTGGTTGTGTAGCATCACAAGAGGGATGGCGGCTTTCGCATTTGTGGCAGCAGTTTCTGTACCAAGTGCCAACCTGTGCATCCCGAAAGCTTATCGGCTTGGTGGTTTGGATTAGCTGCGGGGTCCAGGGCCACAAGACTCCTGGTCCTAAACCTTCTTGACCACACCGCATCCAGTTGCGAAATGTTTGCACATTCCAGGCTTCAGGGCCCAGGGCGGCAGCGGCTTTAGGCGCTTGGGCTTCGAGGCTTCCGGAGCTTTAGGGTTAAAGGATTCAGGTCTAAGACCTCGGCGCCAAAGGGCTCCAGGGTTTAGGGCTAAAGCCACTGAGTGCTTCTGCAACTCAATGAAGCACTGCCGTGGCCGGCACCCTCTGAGGATGAGGTCTCATCTCCGTCCAGCAGCATCGTGTCCGTTGTAAACCGGGGATCCAAGTAGCCCTGGACACAGAGGGCTTGCAAGGGCTTGTAACCTTTGAGGCTCGGCTGGGCCCCCCCCCCCACCACCTACAAACCCTTCTCCTAAAGCTGCTCTTGATACTGTCAGACCCTGCATGACTATCATTACAGCCCTGAAGAGTCATGCAGGATTCCTGCGCCTGAGCCCCTCACCTATGGTCAGGTGTATAGCTCTGAAATACTTAGCCCAGGCCTTGCAAAATTCAAGGCTTTCACGGTCACGCTAATCCTTTGACCGAAAGCCCCGCCTCTTGGATAGGTTCTGCTTCAGCGTTCTCTGTCGAGGGTTCAGGCTGTCCTAACCCTGCCAGTAATCTGGCTATCTGTTTGGCTGCCTGCATTGAAACGTCACATATTGGTCCGAAAATAAACCCGAAACCACAGGAGCTCTTGTTCTCATCTTCTGAAAGCACCTCACCGAAGGTGGACCGTCAGCTAGTAGCCCGAGGCTTCAAGGCTCCGAACAGCAGAAGTGGGATTTACCAAAGAACCTCGCGGTACCTGGCTGTACCCTTAGTGGAGATTTTATTGCTGTCCTTCATAGTAGCTACTGTAGACAGGGTTCAAGGGGTTCTTAAGGTTTAGAGTCTTTAGAGTTTCGGAGGCTTTCATAGTAAGTAGATATAACGCTTTTGGTTTAGGAGTCCAGGAGGTCAGCCTTCAAGTCAGAACTTTGGGGCTTCGGTGTTGCAAAGCTTTCACGGCCACTAAAGACATGCCTGTAATTTCGGGCTCCTTAGGGCACGCCTCCGGCAAGCTGTAGAGTGGCTTGTCCAGAAACTGCTTGTGGCCTGTCGAGGCCGGTTTGCTGAGGTGTCAGGGCTTCAGGCTTTCGGACGGGGGATTCGGGGTTTCAGGGCCATGGATTTTGCCCTGCAGCTGTCAACATTGAGCCAACAACCACGTCACAAGCGTAGACCTGCTAACAGAGTGCAGCTTCGCGCATGCTAATTTGCGCTGTGCCTTTCCCTAGACCCGGCCGTAGCCCTAAACCCCTTCCATAAACCCTCCTGGCTAAACCGAAGCCTGAGCTCGGCAAGTCCCCCAGGCCCCCCACCCTAAGCCACAGCTCCACACCATTTCGGGGTCAGGGAAACTGCTTGGAGAGCCAGCATCTCAAGAGTCCAAGAGGCAGAGCCTGCTGTGCAGCCCAGGCTTTTCGGGCTCATTGCTTTGACAAAATCCAGGACCCAGGAGGCTCAAGCCTAAGTGTCCTGAATTCTTGGGCTTGTGGGATCTTGTGGGTGCAGGGTGTCGGGCGCTTCAGACTTACAAAAGCCTTGATCTCACCCTTCAACGACCGGCGCTCTGCCCTCCAAGTCCGCCCGTACCAATGTCTTCACGCGGTCCCCCAACCTCCCGAACTCCACAGACATGACAGGCTTGATCAGTAAGCTTCAAGCTAAATCTCACCGCCCGAGATCCTGAAACCCGGTGACTACGCCGATATCCTTTCCGGACGAACCCTCAACCCAGAACAGCAAGCTTGACATAATAAGGCTTAGGAGTCACCCAAGACTTCACATGAAGTCGCTCGAGCCTCGACCGCTCTTATTGGGGTAATGTTTGCTACTCACGTTTGGGGTTGTGGGGAACACCCAACGACAGCATTGTCGCAGTAAGACCAGCTCAACCCCCTTTAAGCCCTGATTGAGGCGCCTGGGTCTGATGGGATGTCGGCCAAAGATTGTGGCAGAACTTTTTCCAGCTCCTACATACTTACGGCTTGAAGGGTCGGGCTACTACGACTACGACTACGACTATGGCTACGACTACGAGTACTGCTTCTACTACTACCCTACGGCTACTGCTACGGGTACGGCTACGGCTGCTGGTGCTGCTACTGCTGCTATACTGCTGCTACTGCTGCTACTGCTGCTACTGCTGCTGCTGTTCCTGCTGCTGCTGCTGCTGCTGCTGCTGCTACTGTTATTGCTGCTGTTACTGTTATTGCTGCTGCTGCTGCTACTACTACTCCTACTCCTACTCCTATGGCTACTGCTACGGCTACTGCTACGGCTACTGCTACGGCTACTGCTACGGCTACTGCTACTACTACTGCTTCTGCTTCTGCTTCTGCTTCTGCTTCTGCTTCTGCTTCTGCTTCTGCTAGTGCTACTGCTGCTGCTGCT